TTTTGGACAAATCTCCAAGTGATATTCAGGCAGCTGTCCTAGGGACTACACTTTGAGAACCACAGCGTTAGAGATCACATCCACTTGACTACATTTACATCTTTGTAATTGCTACTTATTTTTCCTGTAATCCTTTTTCCTCTCTTTTATTTAAGGTTCCCCTCCCCACTCCCATCCTTATAATTTAAATCCCTGCTCTTGGAAATACTGTTTTTAAAGACATATTTATGCACTTGAAAGAGTAACAAAAACGGAGCCACAGAAAGCAAGGAAATCTTATGTCTACTGATTCACACCCCAAATGGCTCCAATAAACAGGTCCAGGCCATACTGAAGGAGCCAGTAGCTCTATTCAGGTCTCCAACAAGGGTGGTGGGGGCCCAAACACTTGGGCTCGTCATACACTGTCTTCCCAGGCACATTAGCAGAAAGCTAGGTTGGAAGTAGAGCAGCTGGAATTTAAACAGGTGCTCCTACATGGGATGCCATCATTGAAAGTGATGGCTTAACATGTTGTGCTACTACACTGATCCTTCTTGCAGATATTTTTAACTACTAAATTGGTAGATGTCCCTTGTTTGTACTTACTTATATTCCCAAATATGTCTTGCACTTCCGAAAGAGCCCTAAATCGGGTACCATTTCACATCCATAAGGTTGGGCAGTATTAATACACAAATGTTGATGAGTATGTGGAGAAATTGGAAGTCCCTGTATTAGGTATAGAATGGTATAGGAATTGGTATGTGGCACTGGAGTCCATCTTCTTGCTGGTGTAGACTCTGGGAAGCAGCAGTGATGGCCTTCTGCCAACTCCCCGAGAGGCCTAGATTGAGTTTCTGTCTCCCGATTAGACGGCTCTCCCATTGTAGGCATTTGGGAACTAAACCAGCAGGAGGGAGCTTGCTCTTTCTCTGTATCTATCTGTCTCTGACTATCACATTAAATAGACTGGTGTAGCTGCTGTGGAAAATAATTGGGTAGTTACTTTCTTCTTAAACAGATCTTAGATCACTGTTTATTTTTTTAAAATAAATCTTTGAAACGGGTAGGGCACTATAGAATGGTGTGTTGGACCTCTGCCTGCACTACTGATGTCCCATGTGGGTGCCAGTTTGAATCTCGGCTGTTTCACTTTCAATCCAGATCCCTGCTAGTATGTCTTGGAAGCAGTGAAAGATGGCTCAAGTCCATGGGCCCTTGTGTCCATGTGGGAGGTGCAGAGGAGGCTCTGGGCTCCTGTCTTTGAATTTGCCTGGCTCCAGTTGTTGTGGTGGTTCAGAGGGTGAAACAGTGGGTGGAAAAATCTCATTCTCTGTGGATCTACCTTTCAAATAAAAACAAATAACTAAAGTTTAAAAATCTGTTTATTTGAAAAGTAGAATGACAAAAAGAAAAGCAGAAAGAAAGATCTTTTATCCTCTGGCTCACTATCCAAGTGCTTGCAAGTTGGGTCTAGATCTGGCTGAAGGCAGGAACTTGGAACTGCATCCTGATTTCCTACATAAGTGGCAGGAACCCAGGTAATTGAATCATTTTCTGTTGCTTTCCCAGGCACATTGGTAGGAAGTACCAGAACTCAAATTGGCATCCGTCATGGTGTTGCAGGCATTAACTTAACCTGCTCTGCCACAACACTGTTTGCATTTGATAGTTTTTTTTTGGCGGGGGAGGGGGCGGGGGTTTGTTTGTCTGTTTGTTTCTTTCTTTCTTTCTCTCTTTCTTTTTGGATTTCTGGATTTCTTTCTTTCTTTCTTCCAAGATTTATTTATTTTCATTGGAAAGTCAGATATACAGAGAAGAGGAGAGACAGAAGAAGAACCTCTGCCTGCTGATTTACTCCCCAAGTGGCAACAACGGCCAGAGCTGAGCCAATCAAGCCAGGAGCCTCCTCCAGTTCTCCCATGCAGGTGCAGGATCCCAAGGCTTTGGGTTATCTTCGACTGCCACAAGCAGGGAGCTGGATGGAAAGTGGGGCTGCCGTGATTAGAACCAGCACCCATATGGGATCCTGGTGCATGCAGGGTGAGGACTTTAGCTACTAAGCTAAAGTACCAGGCCCATTGGGTTGTTTTTTAAAGGTTAAATATTGACTGTGACAGACAGTAGACCTGGTGATTAATATACCTGGGTATTCTCATCTGAGTGCCAAGGTTTGATTCCTGGTGTTGGCTCCTGATTTGTGCTTCCTGCTAGTGCAGACCCCGAAAGGCAGCAGCAAGTGATGGCTCAGATAACACCTGTGAGTTAACCTGGATTAAATTTTCTGGTTCCAGCAATAGCCAAGCTCCAACCTTTACAGGGATATGGGGAGTGTAATTGCAGATAGGAGCCTAATCTTGTCTGTCTACCATCTGTATCAAAGGGGAAAAAGTGAAAAAAGAGAATTTTATTCAGAAGGCTTGCACCTTCTAAGAATTATTTGCAGGCCTGGTACAGTAGCCTAGTGGGTAAAGTAAAAGTCCTCACCTTGCACATGCTGGGATCCCATATGATCACCGGTTCTAATCCTGGTGGCCCTGCTTCCCATCCAGCTCCCTGCTTGTGGTCTGGGAAAGCAGTCAAGGATGGCCCAAAGCCTTGGGACCCTGCACCCACATGGGAGACCTGGAAGAGCTCCTAGCTCCTGACTTCGGATTGGCTCAGTTTCGGTCATTGCAGCTGCTTGCAGAGTGAACCAGTAGAAGGAAGATCTTTCTCTGTTTCTCCTCATCTCTATATATCTGACTTTCCAATTTAAAAAATTATTTACAATATAAATCTCCTTGCTAGTTAGGATTCCAATTGGCTATACTTTTTATTTTAATATTTATTTGTTTTTATTGGAAAGGTAAATTTACAAAGTGAGAAAGATCTCCTATCTGCTGGTTCACTCCCCAAGTTGCTAGTTCCCAACTCCCCAGATTACCTGAACTGATCAGGAGCCAGGAACCAGGAGCTTCTTCTGGGTCTCCCACACAGGTGCAGGGTTCCAAGGGCCATCCTTGACTGCTTTCCCAGGCCACAAGCAGGGAGCTGGAAGGGAAGTGGGGCAGCTGACATAGGAACCGTCACCCATATGGGATCCCAGTATATGCAAGGTGAGGAACCACTAGGCTACCGTGCTTGACCCCCATTGATTATACTTGTTTTGTAGTTCATTATAGTTTTATCTGCTTGAGTTGTTTTTACTTATTTGGAGGTGGAGAGGCAAACAGTCATCTCCCATTTACTAATTCATTCCCCAAATGCCTGCCAACGGGTAAGGCTGGATTCTGCTGAAGCCAGGAACTGCAACCAGGTAAAGATCTTCCATGTGGGTGGCAGGGAGTCATCAGCTGCTGCCTTCCAGAACAGTGTCAGTAGGAAGCTGGAATCAGGAGCAGAGTCAGATCTTAAATCTAGACAGATTGATGTGTGATGTAGTCTTAAGCTGCGTCTCAATTACTGTGCCAAATGCTTGCCTCCGTGTCAGTTATTTTTAATCATATCCATTTTCATCTTAAAATTATTTTCAAGGTGTATCAATTAAGTGTGTTTAGTGACATGAGCATTAAGTGTGGTAGGTAGCATTTATGCTGATGGTAGTTGACTTCTCAGGCTTAAAACAGGAGTGGTGAACATCTGGTCCACAGACGCCATAAATGCAGTGAAGTCATTTGGTCTGGCCCTGACAAGGAAACGACAGACAGAACTTAAAATGCAGTAACTCCATGGCCGTAGGCAGGCAGGCAGACAGGCTTGCTTGCTTGTTTATTTTTATTCGAAAGGCAGATTTTGAGGAAGAGGCAGGGAGAATCTCTCAGCTGGTTCACTTCTCAAGTGCCCATAATGGCCAAGGCTCTGCTTGAAGCCAGAAACCAGGACTTCATCTGGGTCTCTCATGTGGATGTCAGAAGCCCAAACTCTTGGTGCTTTCCCAGGCAAATTAACAGGGAGCTGAATTAGAAGTGGGACAGTCAGGAATGGGCATGTGTGTAGGAAGGTGGCATCACAGGCAATGGCTAAACCCCCCCTGCTATGCCACAACCACAACCCTGTGCAGGCCAGTTTTTAAGTTAATTTTGTATGGCCTGCAAATGATGTTATTAATACCCAAATTATTCGGAAAAGGTTTACCATCCCTGGCTTAAAGCATATGAAAGAAGAAAAAGAATATGTAAGAGTATCAGGAATGAGATTTGCATTTATTATAGTTTTGTTTTATATATATATAATATATATTAATTAGAATAAGGAGTGAAGTGAGGGAGTGAGATCTATTTAATTGAAGGTATTTGTTTAAGTAAATTTCAACTAATTGACATTGGTTCCATGAAGCATGAGCTTATTCTGTTTTAGGACAGGAATTATTATCAACACTAGACCTGTGTAAGAAACCCAAGTTTTGTTTGCTCTTTCCAGGTGCAGTAACAGGAACCTGGGTTTGAAGTGAAGGTAGGACTCAGTCTTAGGCAGTTGTTATAGGATGAATTATGTTATGTGCAAATTAAATCAATGAATCTATTTATTGAAAGGCATAAGTATAATTCCATGGGCAAATTTTGCCCAAAATAGGGACTATCCAGGTAATGAAGAACATTCACCATGGGAAATAGGAGAAACTAAAGTTTTCTGAAGTGGGGAAAAGGTTTCCTAGCAAAAAAAAAAAAAATTTGTGAATGAATTTCAAAATTCCTTCACACTTAATGGGCATCGAGGTGAGGCCAATTAGCTCCTGCTTTTCTTGCCAGTATCCCATATCAGAGTGCAGATTTGAATTCCAGCTGCTCTGCTTCTGATCCAGTTCCTTGGTGTAGTATACCTGGGAAGTAGTGGGTGATGCCCAAGTCCTTGAGTTCCTGTCATTCAGGTGGGAAACCTGGATGGAATTCCTGACTCTAGCCTGGCTCAGCCCTAGCTGTTACAGCCATTTGTCATTCTCTTTCTGGTTCTGCCTTTCAAATAAAGAAGTTACTCTTAAAGAAAAAAAGAAAGAAAGAAAGGAAATCCTACATATATTTGTTTTTTTGTGATTTCAGGAGGACAGTTGTGAGGCCAGTGCACTTTTGACTCAATGGGGATAAATGGGTAAGTGTGTGGGAAAGCAGGATCCTTTGGTAAGTGTGGCAGAAAAGCTAGTGAACAAAAGCTTTAGACTTCTCTGACTGGATTTGTGTGACCTAGTCTGAATATCTCTGAACCTCAATTTCCTCTATGAAAAGAAGAGTTGACTCCACTGAATAGGTCACACAGCACTCAGTCAATTATTTCAAAAAGGTAAAAACCTTTTATAAACCTAAACCTCTTTGAGTATAAATCTCATCCCCCTGCTTAAATGGCTTCTCATTGCAACATGAAAGACCAGTAAAAGCCAGAATGAAGGACTCCACGTTGTTTTCTGTAATCTCCCACCAAGCTGGTCTTCTTTTACCAGAGCCTTTCCTTGTAGGCTGCTGTTTGCTCTGTCTGTAGGCTCTGTCCCCAACACTTGGCAAGGTTGGCTCCTCAACTTGGACGGTACTGTTTAAATGTGGCTTCTAATAAGACCTTATCACCTTCTTTCTGAAATTCTCCCTTTTGATCTCTCATGATTCTTATTTCTGCAGATCTTTGATTTGTATCATCTCAGTTCACAGTTCTTTTGTTCATGTTTGCTTGGAAAGCCCCCTCTAGACTCAGTGAATACAGGAACTGCAGGTGAATACTTCAGTAAGCTTATGGAAAATGGAATTATAGAAAATAAGTATGTCTTGTACAAAAAATTGAGATCCATATGTAGCTATTCATAATGTGTTTTCCATGAACCTTTTGGAGACCATGCATATTCATGGGTTTTAAGTTTTTTGCACCGATATAAACATCTTTTAATTCCATTTTTCATAAACTTTCTGAATCTCCCTTTGTGTATGTTCAGAGTTCCTGTTGTATCACCAATGAGTTTTTTGCTTTTCTACATACAGATACTAACTAAAGATTTTGTGTATTGAATTAAGATCACTGTAGGTGCTTGTGTTTTTCTAACATGGGGAAATTACATTCCTTCAGCAATTACTGTCATTCTGTTGAGTTTGCAAAAGGTTCATTATGGATGTGTGTAGGAAAAAAACTCTGTGAATTTTAAAAATTTAATATGTTTTATATTTTCATTTCATTTGAAAGGCAGAGACAGTTTCATTCATTGGTTTGCTCATCAAATGCCCCAACAGAATGGGCTGTACCAGGCTGAAACCAGGAGCCATGAGCTCAGTCTGTCTCCCACATGGATTGCAGTGACCCCTAGCACTTGAGCTGGCTGCCTTCCAATGTAGCATTAGCAAGAAGCAAGGATTAGGAGCAGAGCCAAGACTTGAACCCAGACACTCCATTATGGAAAGAGGGCATTCTAAGCAAAAAGCAGAATTAGAGAGAAAGATCTTTTTGATCTGCTGATTCACTCCCCAAATGGCCACAGTGGCCATCTCTGGGCCAAGCCAAAGCCAGGAGCCAGTAGCTTCATGGGGTCGGACTTTGACCATCTTCCACTACTTTCGCAGGTATGTTAGCAGAGATGTGAGTCAGAAATGGAGCAGCCCATATAGAATGTAAACATTGCAGACTATGACTGAACCCATTAGATCACAGTGCTGACCTCAGCATCTTACATTTAATGTAGTTATCATTTGAATGGGAGATTGTGATTATATTGCATGATATTACACACGCATACACACACACACACAGAGTTTAAGAGAGAGTGTATAAGCAAGCGAGCTCCCATCTATTTGTTCGTTCCATAGATGGCTGTAATTGCTGGTGCCAAATCAGGCCAAAGCTAAGAACTTGTACTCCATCTGGATCTCCATGTGGGTGACAGAGTTCAGAGGACTTAGTTCATCCTCTAACTGGTTTTCCAGGCACATTACCAGAGAGCTAGATTGGAAGTGAAGCAACAAAGAAATGAACTTGCATCTATATGGATTGCTTGCATGGCAGGTGGCCTCTTAACTCCCCTATACCTCAACGATAACCTCTTAGTAGACTTTTTTTTTCAAATGAAAATTTACTCAAAAGACAGAAATTCAGAGAGAACAAGTGATCTTTCAAATACAGTTTCAGTTGCCAATAATGATAATGTAGTCTGCAACTCTGCTGTCTCCCATGGGGTGGCAGGGCCAAAGCACTTGGCTATTTCCTGCTATCCCAGGCTGTCAGCATAGAGCTGCATTGAAAGTGAAGCTAGCAGGATTAGAATGAGTGCTTTGATTTGGAGTACTGCCATTGCAGGTGGCAGTTTAGCTAGCGGTACCACAAAGCCCACCCCATTTTGAGCAAAATTCTTGAGATTCCTTGTAAAGGGCCCATTTATGTAAAAACGATATTTTCAAATACCTGTCTACCTTGCTGCTTTTTTTCCCAGAAAAAAACTGTAAAAGCAATAACATTTATTTTTGAAAGGCAGAATGACAGAAAGGATTTTCCATCTGCTGCTTCGCTCTCCCAGTGCCTACAGTAGCCAGGGTTGGATCAGGCCAAAGCCATGAGCCCAGATCTCCACTTGAGTCTCCCATGTGGGTGACAGTGATTCAGTCAATTGAGTCTTTACCTGCTGCATTATCTGGAAACTGAGTTAGAAGTGGAGTAGCTGGGAATTCAGTCAGTCTCTCATCTATGGGATGCTAGTGTCTCAAGCTGCATTTTAACCCATAGAATCGGACTGCTTAGTCTTTCTCTCCCCCTCTCCCCCCTTTTTTTTGATTTTTTTTTTTAAATTGGAAAGTCAGATATACTGAGAGGAGGAGAGACAGAAAGGAAGAGCTTCATCCTATGTTTCAAACCCCAAGTGGCCACAATGGCCAGAGTTGTGCCATACTGAAGCCAGGAGCCAGGAGGTTCTTCCTGGTCTCCCACGCAGGAGCAGGGTTCCAAGGCTTTGGGCTGTCCTCAACTGCTTTCTCAGGCCACAAGCAGGGAGCTGGATGGGAAGTGGGGCCTCCGGGACATGAACCGCCACCCATATGGGATCCCAGTGCGTGCAAGACGAGAACTTTAGCCACTAGGCTACCACACTAGGCCCCTGGTCTTTCTGTTTCTAAAAACAATTATTTAAATTCTCATGTCTTATGATTAAAATTTTACTACCTTTCTTTTTGGACAGGAAGTTCTATTTAATTGGAAAAAGCAACTAAGTATTGAAGCTGAAAATGAAATTATGCATTTCTTTTTTTCAAGATATATTTTGTTTACTGAAAATGCAGAATTAGAGCAAGACAGAGAGAGCCAGGCGCTTCTTCCACATCTCCTGTGTGGGTGCAGGAGAAATGCAGATTTCTTACCTTAGTCTTTCACTTCACTGACTTTGTGCCTTATTTTATGTAGACTGTTCCTGTATTGGCTGGAAAAATGCCTAATCACTGAGCATTGATCATTTCAGAGAATATGCTAGATGAGAATACTTAAAATTGGGTTTAAAACAAAATGAGGCCTGGTGGTTGTGATGCCACTTGGGACTTCAACCTTCATCCAAGTGCCTGGATTTGATTCCCTTCTCCAGCTCCTGATTCTAGTTTTCTGCCAGTGTAGACCCTGGCTTACAGCAGGTGATGACTTGAGTAATTGAGTTCCTGCCACTTGGAAAACCTGGGTTGAGTTCCTGGCTCTTAGGTATTAGCTCTGACCCAATCCTGGGTGCTGTGGTCATTTGGAGTGGACTGATGGGTTGAAATTCTGTGCACTTGCCTTACTCCCATCCCATAATCCATTTTTGTATCTCTGCCTCTCTAACAGTAATTAAAAATAAAGGAACCAGTCTCTTTGTCATTAGTTTTTATTAGAAAAAAGTTCATTTAGTTATCTGTTTAATTTTTTAAGAAAATATTTTATTTGAAAGGTAGAGTTACATAGAGAGGGGAAAAGATACAGAGAAAGAGAAATTCCATCTGCTAGTTCACTCCCCAGGTAACTGTGATGAGATGTGGCGGAGCCTCTCCAGGTCTACCTCATGGGTGACAGGAGTCCCAAGCACTTGGGTCAACTGCTGCTCTTTTTTTTAAATTTCCCCAGGTATTAGCAGGGAGCTGGATCAGAAGCAGAGCCACTGGGACATGCTCTGGTTCTGTGGGCCCCAGGACCGGAGCCAGTGTACTGATGAATGAGAAGATTACATATTTAAAATAGCAGTGTTAGTAGTGACACTTTTATCTATCATTCTTCAGCATAATGAGGTGTAGGCACAAAGAAGGTCAGTAGTTAGATTTATGCAGGATAGATGCTTTGGCAGAACAATCATAGATTGAAATCCAAGCAGTTAGAGAAACAAGTGAAGAATGTGAGAAGAAAGTGAAGAATGATGAGGTTGCTTCAGAATTGAGGTCCTTGGAAATTGATGGCACACCATCACAGAATGTGGATTGGCACAGTGGTGAGGGTGTTACTTGGGGTGCCAACCTCACCTCAGTGGTTGCTTTAGCACATGGTGCAGCATTGCACTTTCTGTTCTTGGACTGTGACCACCTCTGCTAGACTCTTCACTCCTTCCAGGATCTCACCAGGCTGCATTGGGCCCTTACTACCTTTCCCACTTTACTTTATTTAATGGTTATTACAATTACAATAAAATCGGTCCCATTTAAATAAAACATCTTAAATTTTATTTTCTATTTTTAATATTGTTTGAGAAAGATTTAGGTAAAACAATAATCTGAGGATGTTGCATATGGTTGGAAATAAGAGAAGGAGTGTATGAAGAAAAACGGTTTTGCAGTGTAAGAAACCTAGAAACTGCTGACCTCATTGCATCACTCTCATTTTTTTTTTTCATTAAATAACATACATTATATATGCACATATATGGCTTCCTGAATTTAGAGAAATGTTCTTTATTGAGGATTAGCATTGTGGAAGTCTGATATCATTATACAGTTTTAATAATTTTTAAAAACCAGAAAAGATGAAAATAAGCAGTTTATTATAACTAATCACATGAACAAATTTTATTATGGGATTATGGGCCCACCTGTGCAATCAGCTCATAACTTAGTGCTTATTGCTATACTACTGCATAATTAGACATTTTGTCTATTGTGTATCAATGATAATAGCCAAGCAGTTGTTCTAATTAAATTACTTAAAGCTTTCTGATAGAATACTTAGGAAAGTAAACGTAAGTATGTGTTTAGAATGTTAAAATGGTGATAACTGTACTTTTCTTAAAGATACTCAAATTAAGCATCTAAGTGATGTCATTGTAAACTGTCATGTTTGTCTCAGTCCTTAGTTGAGGCGCTAGAGAATTCTGTTGGGGTGAATGTATTATCTTAAAGATACTGTATTTCTTGCCTTTATTTCATGATGGGGTTCTTCTGCAGTGGATCTCCTTCAGGTACTCTGTCATGACACACTCACTCCTTAGCAGAAACTACAGCAGAATTTTAGTCTGGCGTTACTTACTACCAGTGTTTTGGGAGGTGCCTCATAAAGGTTGTACATATCATGGCCTGTATTGTGGCATTGTTTGCAATATCAGCATCCTGTGTCCAGCTCCTTGTTAGTGCTCTTGAGAAAGCATCTTTAGGTGGTCCGTGTATTTGGGCCCCTGCCACCCATGTGGGAGATTCTACCCTAATTGAGTTCCAGGTTCCTGGCTTTGACCTGGCCCAGCTAAAGCTGATCTGGCCATCTGAGGAGTGAACCAGCAGATGGAGGATCTTTGTCACTCACTCTCACTCTGCTTTTCAAAGGGGGAAAAAAAAGTAATCTGTGTTTATTAGTAACATTTTGGATTGTTTAATTGCTGCCTGTGCTTGGTAACTGCTGAGAACAGATAAGAGGGAGGACCAGTAGCCTCATTTTTTTTTTTTTTAATTCTAGCTAGCTTTAAAAAGGAGAAATTCCTTTTTTTTTTTTTTTTTAAGATTTTCGTTTATTTTATTGGAAAGGCAGATTTGCAGATAGAAGGAGAGACAAAGAGAGAAAGATCTTCCATCCACTGGTTCACTACAAAATGGCTGCAACCATTGGAGCAGAGCCAATCCAAAGCCAGGAGCTTCTGTTCGGCCTCCCACATGGGTGCAGGGTCTCTTGATGCCCTGGGCCATCCTCTACTGCTTTCCCAGGCCACAAGCAGGGAGCTGACAACCACATGGGAACCCAGCACTTTTAAAGGCATGTAATTTTAGCCAACCCATAAATAAATATTTTTTTTCTTTTCTTTTTTTATATATTTTTTTATTGATTAAAGGAGAAATTCTTATTTAATATCATTCTTAGTGCATTAAATTTTGCATTAATCCCATCATGTGCTGTTAGTCGTTAACGAGAGAATCAACAAAGAGTGTTCTTTTGGGTCATATCTGCATTACTAGAACAAAACATTTTATATTGAAGACTTGTGTATTCCTTTAGCTTCTGTGGTCTGCATCCTACTGAGCTTATGGTAACACATGAATAACTAATCCAGATGGCTCAACTGTTGGAGGATGTAAAACCAAAAGCCAATTCAGGAAGCTATCTGCTTGGCTCATCTTTGGATAGAATCCATTCTAATTAGTGGTGACTTTTCTCCGTTTGTTCTGAAATTTAATTTTAACTGCATGTTTTCTTGATTTTTACCTAGGTTGCAAAATGTCATCCTATGCTTGAGATCTACAGACTACATGTCCTACAAGAAATAACCAATGGTTTTTCATCTACTGGAGATATATTAGAAACATAAATATGGTGCCAAAAGAACTCCTTATGTTTCCCTGACTACGATTTATTTGGAGATGCATTTGTATTGAAGAGAGGTATACACCGTAAGGCTACTTGTTGTACAGAGACTTGTGTAGGATCATGGACCATCCTAGTAGGGAAAAGGATGAGAGACAACGGACAACTAAACCCATGGCACAAAGGAGTGCACACTGCTCCCGACCGGCGGGCTCGTCAGCATCCTCTGGGGTTCTTATGGTGGGACCCAACTTCAGGGTTGGCAAGAAGATAGGGTGTGGGAACTTCGGAGAGCTCAGATTGGGTAAGAACTCGGTTACATCAGCGTCTTTCATCTGCAGTCATGACCATACTAGCTGTGATAAGATTTGATGTGTTTCAAGAGAAGCAGAAATTTCTTTTGCAATGGACCTGTTACTGTAAGACCTGTGTGTAGTAGATTTTTAAATTTTTTATGGATTTTGAGATTTTATGATGTAGGCAGATCTGCATGCAGGTATCAGTAAAATTGAGATTCTTACTTGGTAGGTCTGAGGTTGAGCTCTCAACTGTATATTTTTAACAAACTTCCAGATCATGCAGATGCTAGTGGTTTTTCTGCTGACTTTAAGAAGGAACTGAGGCCTTGCGTTAATTCCAGTCTTACCTTTGAAAAGAGAAGAGTAAATCTTTACTCAGTAATGACCAGATTTAGTGTGAGGATATACATTATTTTTGATAGCATATCCACCAGCTATTGCTCACATTCCTTGCTAGATTTCCCATCCTCAGAGTTAGAACTCTTGGGGGAAATTATGCAATTTTATTTTTCAGGCAAGGAAATGTATTTTCTATTTTAAGTATGACTGTATGGGTGAAAATAATGTCAAAATTGACTAAAGTTTAAAGATGTGAAACTGAGAAGGTACATTGATATTTGTATCGTTTTTAATGGACCTCCCTTCATGAGTGGGGAAGAGAAAATGAAAGGCCTGGTAAATAGAGATCAGCATGGAAAATGTGAGATGATCTCCTTTTTGGTTCAGGTGTTTTCTTTTACTTCAAAGCTATTGAAACTGAATTATTGTGAAGACTCCTGTAAGAAACTCTGACCCTTGGGGGAAAGGGAACATGAGCTGATGGTTGGTTGTTATCTCTGCTGCTTCTGATGACCCTGCAAAAGAAAGTGGAAAAGGTTTTACCTTCGATTTTACCTCCAGTCATTGGTGCCTTGACAGAATTTCACTACAACAGCCAGAGATCACTGTGTACAAAATTGAATTTAGATGTGTTAAGAATGAATTTATTTTTACCAGAATAATGCTGGCAATTTGGGATTTCAGGACCTATCTAGGATAATAAAAGGGTCTTTATATTTAGAGATTGTTCATGTTCAGGTTAGCAAAGCCAGCAGATGCTACTGAGAATAGGAGTAAGATGTGTAATTCACATGGCTTGACTTCCTAGCAACTACTGAGTTGCTTTAGCAACTGGTTTCGCAAATATTCATTTATGTAATGGCTTGACTTTGTCTTAAAATCACAGTACTACTTGCATTAAATAGATTGACATAAATAACCACAAAATTAATGCTGTGATTTCTAATGCATGCAAATTTATGCATTCTCATAACATCAGAACATTTTTTTCTTATTTCTGTGAAAGTGAAGCAAAATCTTGGTCAGTGAAAACCATATATGCAATTATTTGATTCAGAAGTTTTTGTTTATATGGAAATAGAAAAAATGCAATTTTAAAAGGTTAGATTTTTAGCTCATGTTTCCAGGGTAACATTGTTCTATTACCTCTAATGAATCTAGAATAATTTTGATATTTTTCATTTTGACTTTTTCTTAATAACCAGTGGAAAGACTTTGTCTTTGTTTTCATTTGTTTTATGCTTATATGCTTACCAGATTTTTATTAGCCATGGAACCATATTGTTGTTACCTTGTATTTAGTAAGAGTTTTTATCAGCAGAAACACAGGGGGTACTTTGCAGAATCATATGGGTTCTTCCTATTCTCTTGATCTAGTGTTAGTAAGTAGAAGATATTGCAAAGACAAGAAGATATAAACTAGGAAATTGCAGATTCAAGGCAGGTACAGGTAGGCCTCTGCCATGACTACGGCCTATGAAATCCTTGCTTCTCCAAATTGATTTCCTTTTCCAACCTATTAGCCCTGAATCTCTTAAGAGTCAGGTGCATTCCACTTGCAGTTTCTTATGCTTGCAGAATTCTGTTATTAAAATTCTGCATACCTAGTTGTTCCTCATCCTCAGGCTTCAGCTTATTTGTTGCCTTCTCAGAGACACGATTTCTCTCTGACTTCTGTAAAGCAACGTTTCTCTGCTCTCCTGCATTCTGTTTCTTTCAGTTGCCTTGTTGTTTTGATCATCTGAAATTAGCTATCATATTTGTTTTCCTGTAAATTACTTCACCTTATTTGACTATAAGCTACTTGGAAGGTAGGGTACTTTATGAATGTATACTGTTTTGTTTACTGTTATTTGGTTTATGACATGGCCTAATAGGTGGGATAATAGCAAGAGGGAAAAAAAATCACATGCGCTCATTTGAACTTCAGCTATTGGAGAATAGTAAGCAGGTCATAGTCTTAATGGTCAGGTCAACCTGTGGATTCTAGACAGGGAATTTAAAAAAAAAGGAGTCATAAGTAGTATGTTTTGGTTCTCTGCCAATCCATTATCTGTTGAGCAACTACTGATGGAATAGTTTCTGTCTGCTAAACTTTAGGAAGATGCACAGAATAAGATGTAGTTTCAGTCCCTAAGAATACTACAGCCTAATGGTGGAGAGAAAGACAGCACTATGATGCAAAGTGATAGAATTATAATAGTATAAAAACTACATTACCAGAGATGATTAATAAATGTTTTACACACATGGTATCATTTGATAATGAGACAGGAGTTCCACTGGTAGGCTCAGGAAAGACAAGCTCTCCAGTTGCAGGATGCATTAGCACTAGGTGTTGTGAAAGTGTTCAGCATATTGTTAGAACAGCAGCTGGTTACTCATGACTGAATCACAGGATGTAAAGGAGAGCACCAGATGAAACTACTAGGTAAGCTGACACCGATTGTAGAGGGTTTGCATGTCATTAAAGCATTTGGATTTGATTCTGTAGGCAGTGAGGTGGGATCATCAAGGGTTTTATAACACAGTGACATGGTCTTCTAGAAACATAATTTGAATAGTTGTAAGATTAAATCATATAAAAAATCTTGTTTTGTAGATTCTTCTCTTAGTTGTGATACTGAAACACATTATATATTCCCTTGTCTAACCCAAGATATGAATAACAGATAGTATAAATCTTCATAGTTTCAGCTCCTTTCACTGCGTATGGTATATAATGGATCCTCAAGTATTTGAAATTTCATAACAGGCAATACTCATTGATTTTGCTGACTTAATGATACTGCATGAATGAGGAATATTTTAATGGAGATAGGAAATGTAGAACTGGAGCAGGTGGTCAGAAATGCAGACAAGAAATTTTGTGAATATATTGAATTTCAGGCATGTGTAGACTAAAGTCAGGGATTAAGAAATGAGCACCATATGGTTGGTCATGGGTGAAGAGTTGATGCTGTGTGGAGCACATGTAACTGGGAGAAGCAGGGATGCTGGGAGAGCAGAAATTTGAAGAGCTAGGGAGGGAAAGCTGGAAAGGGCTAAAGCTGTTGTCTTTCACTTTATTTCTGAAATATTTTCTTTCAAAAATAAACATAGTTTATAATCAGCAAAAATCAATACAGCAGTTTTAGAAAGTGCTTGTTGCCAGGAAAAAGTTTTAAAATTCTATTTTAGAAATGTCTCTAGAGATAGTCATTAATGATGGCTTAATTTTTCAGAATTAAAAAATGTTTATTAGTTTTACAAGTGCAATTAAGCTGTGCTATCAGCTTTTATTGATTACTGGAGCATGAACATCTTGCTTCAGCTAAATATAGATGCTTTTTTGTTTTTTGGGATTTTTTGGTTTCAGAAATTTATTTGGAGAGTTCTGTTACTGTGGCACAGGGGGTTAAGTTGCACCTTGTAGTACAAGCATTCCATATGGGCACCAGTTAATGTTCTAGCTGCTCCAATTCTGATCCAACTCCCTGCTAATGTGCAAGCAAAAGCAGCAAAAAATGGCCCCTGCATCCATGTGGGAGACTGGAAGAAGCTCTGGCTCCTGGCTTTATTCTGGTGCAGTCCCATCTCAGTGTGACCATCTGGGGAGTGAACCATAAGATGAAGGATCTCTCCCTCTGGCTCCTCTCTCATTCTCTCTGTAATTCTTCCTTTTAAGTAAAGAAGTAAATCTAATTAAAAAAATGATTTTGGGGCCCGGCGCGGTGGCACAAGTGGTTAAGTCCTCACCTTGCACACCCAGGATCCCATATGGGCGCCGGTTCTATCCCAGCAGCCTGTGGCCCGGGAAAGCAGTCGAGGATGGTCCAAAGCCTTGGGACCCTGCACCCATGTGGGAGACCTGGAAGAGAATCTGGGCTCCTGGCTTCTGATTGGCTCAGCTCCGACCATTGTAGTCACTTGGGGAGTGAATCATCGGACAGATCTTCCTCCCTGTTGCTCCTCCTCTCTGTATATCTGATTTTACAATAAAAATATATAAATCTTTTTTTAAAAAAATGATTTTGAGAGGCAGAGGAAGAGAGCCCCCATCGACTAGTTTACTCCTGAAACTCCCATAGTGACCAGGGTGGCAGGGTACCTAAGCCAGGAGTCAAGCAAAGGTCTCTCACGGGGGTGACAGGAACCTAGTTACTTGAGTTATCACTACTATCTTCCAGATTCTATATTCATGGAAAGTTAGAATCAGGAGCTAGTGCCTGGAATCAAACACAACTGTGAAATGTGTGTGAGTGTGTAAAGAATTTGCTAATGAGGGAAAGTCGGAATCAATGTTTACTTGATATCATTAATCATAAGGAGAAAATAAAATTGATGGCCCACTTTTATAGCAAAAGATAAAGTTCTTATCACTACCAGCCATAGTAGCTTTCCAAAGTCCATCTGATGCCAGGTTAATCCAGTTTTGTCTTGAGTTGGAGATACCAGGCAAAAGAGTGTTATACGTTTTTTAAGAATTATTTTGAATCACTACAATCTGTAACATCAGCAGTGTGGTACAGAGAGTAAAGCTGCTGCTAGTGATGCTGGCATCCCATATAGCACATTGCTGGTTTCAGTTCCAGCTGTTGTGCTTCTCATTCAGTTCACCTGGTAAAGTGCTGGGAAAGCAGCAGAGGATGGCCTAAGTGTTAGGGGCCCTGACATCCATGCAAGA